CTTTTACTCAGAATACTGAAGTTGATAATAACATTTTTCACAAAAAAATGACAAAAATAATCATCAAAATTAGAGAACTGAAGATACTGTCACAAAATTAACAAATCTGGGAGACAAGTCGACCTGAATTTGGTCAAAAACATCACTTTTTACCACAAATGACAATTAAGATACACTTAAATTAGTGAATTAAAGTTATAACGAATTGAACAAATCTGTGAGAGTAGTACCGGTATTAGTGAGTATAAAACCCATACAGCTATGAAAATATTAAGATGATGGATGGGCAATCAGTAATATGAACAGCTCCACTCTGTCAACTAACTTGATAGCAGAGCTAAGAAAGGTTATAACTCCGTGTTCTTCTTTTTGTTCCTACATATACAGGCATTCTTTTGAGCTTCCAAGTATGACTTACATCCTAATCCAACAGTGCCTGCATACATCAAATCAGTAGTTGTCTTACAACCTGTCGATATCAAATAAAACAGAGCAAATTAAAACAAAATGTTACGGGTAATTGTAAACAAACATTGACTATGCACAGTCCTTGTTCTGTATTACTGGTAAATACAGATTCCACCAATAGTAGGGATTCATAATTATGGGGATTATTTATGGCTATAGTATAGTAATGTATTCTGTTGTTGAGTGAAAAATGTAAATGCCAGCATGTTCACTGAATTTGAACAAATAATGTAAAATTTATCAGAGAAACATATGATCTATACTCAACTTCAAGTATTCATACAAATTACACAACAAGCATGAAATGCGGTATGCGCTGGTTGCAGCACCCAGGAGCCACACGCGTTTATTACAATGTTTATTTATCACCCCTTACTTATGTAAATATACACAAAATTGATGCCAAACCTATCGCGAATACATCGACCGCCCAGGAAAACCAGATATAAAAACCTGTCAATGGAGTATAACATCTGGAAACCTGTACCCGACGCAATGTCAGATGTACCTAGGGGTAAATGTCGGGCGTCATTCATATTAAGAAAACTATACATTTATGAAAATAAAAAATACATTGGGAGTTGTTTGCAACCGAGACTGAATACAATAGATTACTCTTCTTACTATATACTCATGAGCACCTGGCTACTTAGCCACTAACCAATCGGAGCAGGTGCAATGGCACCTGAATAATTTACATATGAATAGATAGCAATTATCTACTAATCTATGAAACACAGATAATTTATCATTAAAATGTTTTAACCACTTTATACAAAACTACTAAAAATTGAATCAGACTGTGAAACAACAAAGTTGCAGTTCAAATTTCATTTCTTAATATATTATATGTTTAGCAATAAATCTCAAAATGGTGATGCATAAACTGTAATAGACATTTTAGTGTTTTTGTTCCCATTGCATATAGTGCACTAGGCAATTCAACAAACCTGAACTGCAATTTACACAGCGCTTTACACAGCGCCCTCAACACCAAGGTTGTATAAAACTTTCTATGGCTTTAATGTGTAGTCACATGGACATTTTAATCCTGAAATATTGTTGTGAATGTAATTAGTGTTAGTCAGGAATCAGTACAGTTTTTTAGGGAGTTCATAGGGATGGACTCGATTTTCAGTACCACTCTCCCCATCTCTCTAACACACAATACACAACAGTGTCTATTTATTAATCTTAAAAAAAAAACAGATGTCACATCCCCTCCTTTCTACCATTCCTGTCACCCCCCAAAAAACTTAATATGTATCAGCCACAGTCCCTCTTCCCCCAGTCTGTAAACGGATATTGTTTAAGCTAAATTAGTGAGACAACGTTTGTAATGGCAACACATGAATCATGGTGACTTGGTTGGTTATATGGGTGGTTAAATGATCACAGAGGTCTGCTCAACTTTTTAAAATTTTAGCATGACCAAGCTTAAGAATGAGTTTCAATTATTTTGTCTTTTAACACTACATCAGCAGAAACCATTGACTGTTTTTTTTACAAAAACTATGATGATCATGGTGCCAATTAACATACTAAATGTTTCTGTTAATCTTTGTGAAACTATTAAGGTAGAGATGCAGTTTACCTGACAGGTATATTAATTAGTTAATTAGGCAACCAAGACCTACCTTGTTCACAGAACTATATATTTTCGGAAAGCTTATTGTATGAATTTTAAAATTTTGTAAGTATTCTTTTTTTATGGACACTGTAGTTTGAAATATGCACAAAAATGTTTTTTTGGGGTCAAAAGTGATTAAAAAAAATTAGCTTCTAAACCATGCCTCTGTTTCCTGTCAAAATTGGTTTACGGGTACATCTGTTTACTATGAAGAAAGTGTCGTCTTGCAAACTGTCTACCAGTTGTCAATTTTGCTGGGCAGCAGCTCAAATTTTAAGTTTATGCATGAATTAACACCCAGGATAGTTGTCTGTGCGATTGTTGTAAACACTGTTCAACCAAAAACCATTCCCCGATGGCGTTTTGAAGATAAACACATTGTCAATCACTTGTAAAAATTTCAAAAGAAAAGGTCAAAGCGTCTGGGATGTGGACTAAAAAGAAGCTGAGATAATTGCTAATTTGCATATTTTATAGTTAAGTAAAAATATATGCTGATTTACATCGCTATTGGATTTAACAGAGTTCCACGAATGATTTTAATTTCAAATTTTCACAGAATACAGATGTTCATACAATGCCATAAAAAATAACAAAATAAATAAACTGCATCTCTACCTTAAAACAGGAAAAGAATCATTTTGAAAATTAGCTTTAAGTGTTAAAGTAAATTTTGAAGATTGTTTGTTTCGAGAAAACTCTGTATTTTAAGATACAAAAAGTGTTGATAAAATCAAGATGGCGATATCAGAAACGTTAAG